TGTTTATAAATAGGGGTTAAACGAAGAAGAAAGTCAGAACGGCCATGGCAATCTGAGGAGCCGTTCTCCGGACACCGCGGGTCTGTACTTATGCTGTAACCTCGTGATTTTAATAAAAGCCTCTAATACGATGCAGCATAAACGGACTCTTTGTTGACAGCAATAATGGCCACCATTCACCCGATACGACAATATTTTCCTTCATTATTTTCCACTAACCCTACCACCTCTCCCCTAATTGGAGCAAACTAATGAACAACAACACTTAGGCCTATGTCTGTCTGTATGTGCACTACCGGTCAAACGTTTTAGAACACCTACTCATTCACCTACTCATACTTTTATTTGGGTTTCTGTGCAAAGTATATGATTTGAATGTTTCTTTAAGCCTGCAGCTAGTTACTTGAAATGAGACATATAATCATGCCAAAACATGATTAAAAAATGCAATTCATTGACAGAGAGATAGCTAGATAATGAAACACAAATTGACATTTACAGTAGCTGGCTATTCAAACTGTAACATTGACCTACTTTCAATACATTTGATAAAATGTCCATGGAGTTCTCTTCATACTATCAAAACAATTCTTATTGCATGCTGAATATTTCAAGTGCACTCGAAACATTATATTTATCTTATTTCAGTCTTCGGGAGCTAGATATATCTGTTTCTCTTCATCAAACAGCAGTTTTCACAAGAGGCATGCCATTGGCTGCCTTGATCACGAGGGTTATGTACGGGACCTCTGATTGGTTCCGAGTTTAGGAGTTCGGCAATGTTGCCTGAGCAGTTGAAATATATTTTTTATGAGAAAATGTGCAAGAATTGAAGGTTTAAGGGGCCAACAAATGTTATAGTCATCATAACAATATTTTACTGTCATGTATAAAAAATCAGGTCCTTCCTGGACTGGGATCGATTAATTTCACTATTTTCGTCTTATGCCCACCAGCTAATAACACAACCACACCACAGATAGAACAATGAGCCAGATATTTCACCTGATGTATAATGTGAAGCATCCTGTTGTTTCCACTCACTACCAAATATGGTGTTGAGAGGAAGTCCAGTGGGAGAACAGGTAGCCAGATGGATTTTGAAGACGTTCTGCTAATTTTCTCAGTTTCCTGTTTCCGTAACTAGAATCTGTAACAAACAGAATGGACTACGTTTAATAGACTTTACCCTTTGCCAAAGTTTCTAAAAAAGTAGGCGTTCCCTAAGGTAATATGCAAATAGATTCTAGAACGGGCCAATAGGACCTCTCTTGCTCCTGCTTGGCTCTGCCCACCTCCTTGCTTGTTCTGCCCACTATGATTAATTTGCTCCCATTGGAAACGACAGGTGTAGATCTTCACCGACTAGGTGAAACATCTGTTGATGTGCCCTTGAGCAAGGCACTTAACCCTAATTGCTCCTGTAAATCGCTCTGGATAAGAGCGTCTGGTAAATGACAAAAAAAAAAAAAAAAAAAAAAAGACTGCGTTACCCACTCCAGTCAGCAGATGGCGATGTGGGGCTTTAAGGCTATGCTGCTAGTGTGACGTATAATCTAGTGGACGGGACGCTTCTTTCAACAGCAGCAACAGTTAGTCAGACACCTCGGTAGCTTGCTAGACAAAATAGCCCAACCAATAAAGCTCTTTAGACGCTTTCGTGTATATTAGCCACTGTGTTTTAAACCCACTTCTGTCGTGTAGTTAGTTATCCCATTTAATTTCATATTTACGGTGTTGTTGTTATTGGTCAGCTAGCTGGCTGGTTAAGTTAGCACTAGCCTAGCTAGCTAACATCCCCGACCATGAGCTCACTAAGCTACTCTCCTCCTGCTAAAGAAGAGGAGGTCTGCTGGACGGAGAAAGAAGCTCTAGTGAAAGAGGAGGAGGAAGAGGAGGATGTTACAATACAAAAACAAGTAGAGGGTGAAGCTGTTACGGTGAAAGAAGAAGAGAAAGACGTTACAGTGAAAGAAGAGGAAGACGCGTTCAGAGTGAAAGAGGAGGAGGATGTTACAGTGAAAGAAGAGGAAGACGCGTTCAGAGTGAAAGAGGAGGAGGATGTTACAGTGAAAGAAGAGGAGGCTCCCGTGTTTGGAGTGAAAGAGGAGGAGGAGGAGATGACTGTCACATCGAAAAAGGAGGAGGAAGAAGAGGAGGAAACTGGATATCTGGTTCCGGTTTCCCAAAGGCATCTTAAGGCATCCAATGGTTCTAATGATGAACTTAGCAGTAAGATACTTTTGAGAAACCGGGCCCTGATTAACACTAGTAAGTACTGTCTTAAAAACAGAGGCACAAACTCTGCAGTTGTTGAACTGATGTGTGGTGTTAAAGGGGGAATCTGTAGTTGCTACATCCATATTTGGACTTTTAAATTATTTATATATATCCATTGATTCTTGAAGAATATAACACATGCCTCATGAGCTTAGTTCAACTGCTGTACCCCATCAGATCCCAAAATAAGCTTTTTTTACTCCAATGTTTAGAAACAATGTAAATGTAAACCAACACTGTATAGCCTCAACATGGTTAAAACTATTATGTTGATATCATGGATGGTCAGTCCTTGGATCCATAGGTCTGTCTATGAATTTGAGAGTAGTTACATTTCTCCAGTCCCATCCTCATCTTATTACCAAAACAGTGGTGGAATGACAGCTTTGTTATTGTTTGAACTGCAGATTGGTTGATTGATTGATGTGTGGCTTTTTTAAAAGGGGAAACCCAGCAATAAAATGACTGCCCAGAGACTTGGTTTGGTAAATAGCTGAGGGATGGGGGCTGGAGAAATGTAACCACTCTCAAATTTATAGAGAAAGCTATTGTAGCAACCTTAACCCAAAACCTAGCGACCTCATCAATAAGTTCAGACATCTTGGTATAACAGTTATAAGGTGTTGGCTTGACAGTCTCTGGACCCAGGTTTGAGTCCAGCTCAGGGCTACCGCTGGAATTCACTACACTATGAATACAAGGACTGGCCATCCATAAGGTCAAAATCATAGTTTTAACCTGGTTTTGAAGATATACAGTGTTTGTTTACAACCAGTGGCATTATACAAGCTTATGTTTTGGTTTTTGATGGGGAAATACATTTGAGGCATTTATAAGTTATATTCTTCAAGAATCAATGGCTATACAGTATATGGGTCTTTCTATAACTGCCAGTGAGGATTTCCTTGCATTTATGGCAGTGTAGTTCCCTTAAGGGTCAGTCAACTTTGGTAAAACATACTATGGTGAGTCGTGACTTTGGTTGAAGCATCTAAAATCACACCTGACAAGGCCAAGGCCAATGAAATCCACGCCTCGCTGGAAGCCCCGCCTTCCACAGGTGATGAGCGTTAGGCTCGGATTAATTCCTTCAATTATTCCGCTCTTTACCTCGTTGTGAACAGGAACGATTCATGCTACAGGTGTAGATCTTACTTACAAGCTACCTGCCCAAATACATAGTGCCAACTGTAAAGTTTGGTGGAGAAGGAATAATGGTCTGGGGCTGTTTTCATGGTTCATGCTCCTTAGTTCCTCCTTAGTTTACAGTGGGTCTATGTTGTTGTTAGGTGAAGTTATGGGTCCTACAGTAGGTCTATGTTGTTAAGTGAAGTTATGGGTCCTACAGTAGGTCTATGTTGTTAGGTGAAGTTATGGGTCCTACAGTAGGTCTATGTTGTTAGGTGAAGTTATGGGTCCTACAGTAGGTCTATGTTGTTAGGTGAAGTTATGGGTCCTACAGTAGGTCTATGTTGTTGTTAGGTGAAGTTATGGGTCCTACAGTAGGTTTATATTGTTAGGTGAAGTTATGGGTCCTACAGTAGGTCTGTGTTGTTAGGTGAAGTTATGGGTCCTACAGTAGGTCTGTGTTATTGTTAGGTGAGGTTATGGGTCCTACAGTAGGTCTATGTTGTTAGGTGAAGTTATGGGTCCTACAGTAGGTCTATGTTGTTAGGTGAAGTTATGGGTCCTACAGTAGGTCTATGTTTTTAGGTGAAGTTATGGGTCCTACATTAGGTCTATGTTGTTAGGTAAAGTTATGGGTCCTACAGTAGGTCTATGTTGTTAGGTGAAGTTATGGGTCCTACAGTAGGTCTGTGTTATTGTTAGGTGAAGTTATGGGTCCTACAGTAGGTCTATGTTGTTAGGTGAAGTTATGGGTCCTACATTAGGTCTATGTTGTTAGGTAAAGTTATGGGTCCTACAGTAGGTCTATGTTGTTAGGTGAAGTTATGGGTCCTACAGTAGGTCTATGTTGTTAGGTGAAGTTATGGGTCCTACATTAGGTCTATGTTGTTAGGTGAAGTTATGGGTCCTACAGTAGGTATATGTTGTTAGGTGAAGTTATGGGTCCTACAGTAGGTCTATGTTGTTAGTTGAAGTTATGGGTCCTACAGTAGGTATATGTTGTTAGGTGAAGTTATGGGTCCTACAGTAGGTCTGTGTTATTGTTAGGTGAAGTTATGGGTCCTACAGTAGGTCTATGTTGTAGGTGAAGTTATGGGTCCTACAGTAGGTCTCTGTTGTTAGGTGAAGTTATGGGTCCTACATTAGGTCTATGTTGTTAGGTAAAGTTATGGGTCCTACAGTAGGTCCAGCATCACATTTAGCTATATGAATAGCAAAACTACATAGAGCCTAAACTATTTAGCGTTTTCTTAATTCTATGGAAACGTATTTTGAGAACGGAATTGGTACGGAAATTGCGATCCGATCTGCCTCTGTAGTTCACTGTTAAACACATTTTCACAAGTTTCGGGGACTTCTGCATCTCTATTAGACTCTGGCAGGACGCTGTTTCCGCAGCTAGCAAAACCGAACCTGCTTGGTGCCGCTCATTGCCGCGTGTTCTTGTCTGTCATTGTTGTTCAGCTGCTGATTTTGACAAGGCATTTTGATTTCCGTACCAATTCCATTCTCAAAATACGTTTCCATAGAATTAAGAAAACGCTAAATAGTTTAGGCTCTATGTAGTTTTGCCACTCCTACAGGGCATAAATATGATGGCGTCAAAGTTTGAAAAAGGCAACTGCGGTGTCAGTATTATGAGAAGTGGCGAGGCCATGGAGCAGGGCCTCAGAGACTGCTGCCGGTCCATCCGTATCGGTAAGATCCTAATCCAGAGTGACGAGGACACCCAGAAGGCCAAAGTCTACTACGCCAAGTTCCCCCCAGACATCAGCAGGAGGAAAGTCCTCCTCATGTACAGGTTCTGACTGAACATGGTCTCCAGCCCAAACATATCATCCTCCTGAGTCTCTTCTCCACCCCTCACGGTGCCAAATCCATCATTCAAGAATTCCCAGAAATCACCATACTGACCACCGAGGTGCACCCTGTGGCTCCCACACACTTTGGCCAGAGGTACTTTGGGACAGACTAGTCAGCCCTCCAGGGCCATTCAATGGGACACCATACTATGAGAACCAACCATTGAATGGTCCCTCTCTCGGTTAAATGCGGAAGACACATTTCAGTTGAATGCATTCAGTTGTACAACTGACTAGGTATCCCGCTTTCCATTTTCCTCTCTGTCTGATGTCAGTTTGTCCACTTATTTCAAAAGGAGTTGTTACCCTGCTGAAGAATGTTGCTTTGCTGTGTACGCCGCCTTAACCTGTACTCCTCAGTCTGACAAAAACAATGCAAAGATTTTCCTGGAAACAGAAAAAGCACATTCCATGCAGGTCTTTTAGGAACTAGTCTAGCGAGCTTGCATGTACTGCTGCCATTTTATTTATTCAGTTATGGTAATTCATTCTATGTTGTTTTTCCTCATTTAGAAAGTCTAAATAATTCAAATAATTTTTTTCTATGTATTCTATTCAGAGTATGTGAGCGTAGTTGAGCGGTCGGAAATCCTGCTCACCGCTCCGGCGCGCCACAGCCTTTCCAGCCGCTCCGCTAAAAACCGCTCCGCGCTCACAAAAACAAATAAATGCCGCTCCAAATTCGCTCCATTCATTAAAATCACAATTTAACCAACACCCATCTATTCTTTGGACTACCTGGACCTACCATTTGGTTTTTAAGTACTGAAACCAAACCATATGATTTGAATGAAAAGTATTTTAATAAACATGAAAAGGTGAATGCTCATCATTTCAAATAGGCTACATGCCGTATTAAACATAATATAAACACTAAATAGGTCAGGAGCCAGACAGGGAGCCTAAGAAGGAACAAAAAATAATTATTTAGGCTATAATATTTCAATTATTTCAAGGATATAGCCTACAAAGAAATACATTTGCGAGAGCGACACAATAGGCTGGAAGGAAGATAAAGGGCTCAGCATTTAAACAACATTTTGTTGTATTAAATCATTTGAGTCTATAAATTGCACATATAGGCTGTGACTTACTTAGAATTAAATGCAAATGAAAAGAATAATGCCTTATTAGGCTCAGTCTACAGGGCCTTTGAATTCATTTTTAGAAATACCAGTTTGGCCAATCTGTGGCTTCAGGCTCATGCTGAAAATATCCTCTCCGCGCACCTTGAACGTTGGGCCAAAATCAATGATGGCCTATTGTATAGATAATAGAAAGAAAATGAATGAAATGTTTAAGAGATCTGATTTTTAGTTTATTAATACTTTGCTACAATGACACAGTTATCTACCCACCTCGTTCCTTTCTTTTAGCATGTGTCCTCTGTAGCTCAGCTGGTAGAGCACGGCGCTTGTAACGCCAGGGTAGTGGGTTCGATCCCCGGGACCACCCATACGTAAAAATGTATGCACACTTGACTGTAAGTCGCTTTGGATAAAAGCGTCTGCTAAATGACATATTATTATTATTATTATTATTTTGTTAGGTGAAGTTATGGGTCCTACAGTAGGTCTGTGTTATTGTTAGGTGAGGTTATGGGTCCTACAGTAGGTCTATGTTGTTGGGTGAAGTTATGGGTCCTACAGTAGGTCTATGTTGTTAGGTGTTGTTAGGTGAATTCATGGGTCCTACAGTAGGTTGATGTTGTTAGGTGAAGTTATGGGTCCTACAGTAGGTCTATGTTGTTAGGTGATGTTATGGGTTCTACAGTAGGTCTACGTTGTTGTTTGGTGAAGTTATGGGTCCTACAGTAGGTCTATGTTGTTAGGTGAAGTTATGAGTCCTACAGTAGGTCTATGTTGTTAGGTGAAGTTATTGGTCCTACAGTAGGTCTATGTTGTTAGGTGAAGTTATGGGTCCTACAGTAGGTCTATGTTGTTAGGTGAAGTTATGGGTCCGTCTATGTTATATAAATACCTATTTTGGATGCAGCTCTTGTTAGCTTGAATGCTAACGCTCATTAACAGGCTGGTAGCAAAGCTAGCCAAAGAGCATTTTACTGGTTGAAGTTTAAATGTTTTTTAAGTATAAATCAGTTGTTTTGAGACGATGCCACAAACATTATATTAAGCAGGACATTCAAACGAGCCTTACAATTATAATCCTAAAGTAGTGTGAAATGCAGTCATAAGCAACCTGTAAATGGAGGCTATTGTTGCTGGCAGACTCTGAGAACTCCCCTGAGTTTTCCCCCACGGTGGTGAATTAGTGAATAGTGACACATAGCTTAATGTGAGTTTCCTTGAGTAGCACTCCTGATCTTCCACTGATAGTGCGCTGTAATATTCAGAATACGTTGTGAAAAACTAAAATCTTCGCTCACCATTGTTGCTCCACGCAGATATACTACATCAATAACTAGAGGTTATTAGCATGGAGGAGTTCAGATATACTACATCCATAACTAGAGGTTATTAGCATGGAGGAGTTCAGATATACTACATCCATAACTAGAGGTTATTAGCATGGAGGAGTTTCAGATTATACTACATCCATAACTAGAGGTTATTAGCATGGAGGAGTTCAGATATACTACATCCATAACTAGAGGTTATTAGCATGGAGGAGTTCAGATATACTACATCAATAACTAGAGGTTATTAGCATGGAGGAGTTCAGATATACTACATCCATAACTAGAGGTTATTAGCATGGAGGAGTTCAGATAAACTACATCCATAACTAGAGGTTATTAGCATGGAGGAGTTCAGATATACTACATCCATAACTAGAGGTTATTAGCATGGAGGAGTTCAGATATACTACATCCATAACTAGAGGGTTATTAGATGGAGGAGTTCAGATATACTACATCCATAACTAGAGGTTATTAGCATGGAGGAAGTTTCAGATATACTACATCCATATCTAGCGGTTATTAGCATGGAGGAGTTCAGATATACTACATCCATAACTAGGGTTATTAGCATGGAGGAGTTCAGATATACTACATCCATAACTAGAGGTTATTAGCATGGAGGAGTTCAGATATACTACATCCATAACTAGAGGTTATTAGCATGGAGGAGTTCAGATATACTACATCCATAACTAGAGGTTATTAGCATGGAGGAGTTTCAGATATACTACATCCATAACTAGAGGTTATTAGCATGGAGGAGTTCAGATATACTACATCCATAACTAGAGGTTATTAGCATGGAGGAGTTTCTGCAGCCAAATTGTCTTGCATATCAACAAGCAGCAAACACAGAAAGGGTCCTATATTGGAGAGTAAAAGTCGTCTGGCACTCTGCTTAGGATTTCAACAACTTTAATAACTTATTTCGAGCCTAGAATCATCGATGTTACTACTAATGTGAAAAAATGACAAAATATGACTTGTTGCTCACTTGACTGTCTTAAGACAATTGTCAAATAATTTAAGACGTCAATTGTTGTACAATTTCATAGGTATGCTCTGGGTATCACCTTTTACCTCAAATAAACAGTGTATTTCTGCTGTTGTGGTTCTTTAACCATCTGTCTGACTTTGTCATTCACACAGGAGAGAGACGTGGCTATTGTGGATCCTCTGGGGAGCCTCAACAACATGATGCTGACGAGGCAGAAAGGTCTCTCTCCAGATCAGAACACCTTAAGAAAAACTATCTGAGACCCACTGGGAAGAAATCTCACTGCTGCTCTGACTGTGGGAAACGTTGCAAGTCTTCATCAGAACTTAAAATACACCAGCGCGTACACACAGGAGAGAAACCTTATAGCTGTGATCAATGTGGGAGGAGTTTTACTCGGTCAAGCTCCCTGATAGTGCACCAGAGAACACACACAGGAGAGAAACCTTACGACTGCTCTGACTGCGGAAAGACTTTTGTTAGTTTAAGAGATTTAAAATCACACCATAGAACACACACAGGAGAGAAATCACCATATAGCTGTACTCAATGTGGGAAGAGTTTTACTCGGTCAAGCTCCCTGATAGTTCACCAGAGAACACACACAGGAGAGAAACCTTATAGCTGTACTCAATGTGGGAAGTGTTTTGTTGCATCTTGCAATCTGATGATACACCAGAGAACACACACAGGAGAGAAACTTTATAGCTGTGATCAATGTGGGAAGAGTTTTACTCAGTCAAGCTCCCTGATAGTGCACCAGAGAACACACACAGGAGAGAAACCTTATCGCTGTACTCAATGTGGGAAGAGTTTTGTTGCATCTTGCGATCTGACAATACACCAGAGAACACACACAGGAGAGAAACCTTATAGCTGTGATCAATGTGGGAAGAGTTTTGGTACATCTGTGTATCTGACGATACACCAGAGAACACACACAGGAGAGAAACCTTATGGCTGTAATCAATGTGGGAAGAGTTTTACTCAGTCAAGCGGCCTGGTAGTACACCAGAGAACGCACACAGGAGAGAAACCGTATAGCTGTACTCAATGTGGGAAGAGTTTTACTCAGTCAAGCGGCCTGGTAGTACACCAGAGAACACACACGGGAGAGAAACCTTATCACTGCTCTGACTGCAGAAAGAATTTTGTTAGGTTAAGAGATTTAAAATCACACCAGAGAACACACACAGGAGAGAAACAATTTAGCAGGAGATAAATGATATAGCTGGAGATAAATGATATAGCTGTGATCATGTGACAAGAGATACTTTGATAAAAGATCTCTGATCAAACATCAGAAAGTACATACATTAGTTGTTTCATGATATCAATGAAATAATGTCACAATGTAGAATGTTTTAACATTGTAGAAGGAGTACTTTAATTAATAATGTCACAATGTAGAACCCTAAACATTTCCCCCTGTTCTATTTATTTCAGCATGATATGGATATTAGCCTCTGGGAAAAACCCAGGCTATGAATTGAAAGAGTATTTATGTGATTTAACAAAAAGTAAAAT